AGCCAAGTTGGAGTTTTTGACTGCATTGGCTGCAGCTGCAATTGGAGGATTCAGCAAATCCCGATGTGCAAATGGACAAAAGTGAGAAAGGGTGAAAAAGCCGTGAGCCATTGTCCATTGTGGGTGCAGCCCCTGGCTGGGCTGGGACTGCCCTGAATGGCCCTGAAGGCCCTGCAATAACAGAACTGCTTTGGATTCTCTGAATTTTGTCTGGCTTCTGTCCTAGGTGAGCCAGACTTAGGCATCAAAGGGAAACCCCAATCCCAGCCTGCTGCTCCTGACTGGAGTCAGAGTCCTGATGGAGAGGGCAGGAATGTCCCTGGAATGAGTGGCCTGTACTCACGCTGGATGTCGATGGTGACAGAAGTCTCCTTCCCGCTGGGAATGGCTTTGTTGGTGGCGCGGCACACGATGCTCTCGCCGTTCTCGATGTCGGAGGGGGCGATGAACAGCGTGCTCATGATGCTCTCCCGCTTGCCGTCACGGAGGAGGGTCTGTCAGGGGAAAAAGGGGTCAGGAAAGGCTCTTTCTCATTGCAGGGGGGTCCTTTCCCCATCCCCAGGCTTGGGATGAGTTTGTCAGCCGAGGAGCTTCCTGCAATAACAATTCCTCTGGCTGGAATCTGCCAAAAGCCTTCGGGGGATAACAAAGACAAATTTCACTGCACTTCCCTGGGAATTGGGCTCTTAACTCCCATCTGCTTCCCCGCAGCCCTGCTGTGCCGGGGCGTAGGGAGGAAAGCTCCAGTGAGATGCATCACCCACCATCCCTGGAAAAGGGGAGCCATGGCTTTGTGACCCTTTTGTCACCTTCTGCCAGCGAGGGCACAAAGCTGCTGCATACCCATGGGAATGAGGGTGATGCTGGCTGAGCACAGACTGACCCTGGCCATGGATCCCTGCTGTGCTCTGGACCAGCCCATGGTAAATCATCACCTCTCAGGGGTTCACTGATAGGGGCCACAGATCCAAACCCTGGTGGTGACCAGATCAACCTGCTCAGCATTGGCACCGTGCTTCTTCCCTGGATTTATCTGACTTCAGCCCTGGTGCCCTGCCATGCTTCTTTTGGGACCACAGAACCCTTCCTCACCATCCCCTAATGCCCCTGCAAGTTCCTACAGGAGGTCACGTCACCCTGCAGCCCTGACTTTGACAAACTGAGCCCTTGGAGCTCTCAAGATGTTGTGTGGTTTTCAGTCTTTTGATCATTCTCTGACCTCTGACCTCGCTCTGGTTAATCAGCGCTCTGGATTTTGGACCCTGCCAGGCAGCTTTTCCTTCTAAGTCTTATCCTCACAGTGTAAGAGAAGAGTTTTATTGGGAAAGGAACAGATGCCAGCAAGATGTGTGCGCATGGCACACGGGACATGGTTCAGTGGTGGCCTTGGCAGAGCTGGGGGATGGTTGCACATGATTTTGGAGGGCTTTTTTGACTTAAATAATTTTTTTATTCCAAAACTAATGCTTTCCCTGGGCTCATCGTGGCACAGCCTTCACCCACGCAGGTTTGTGCCTCTCAAGCACAGGAGACCAGGAACGATGCTGAGAAATCATCACTGCAAGCAGCCCAGAATCCCAGAGCCATGAAGGTTGGAAAAGCCCTGTGAGATCAAATCCATCCATTTACCCAACACTGACACCACTGACCCCCTAAACCACGTCCCTCTCCACCACACCCATGGGTTTTTTAAATACTTCCAGGGATGGGGAATCCACCACCACCCTGAGAGCCTGTTCCAGTGTCTGAATACTTTTCCAGTAAAGAAATTTTCCCAATATTCAACCTAAACATCCCCTGGCACAACTTGGAGCTGTTTCCCCTTGTCCTGTCCCTGTTCCCTGGAGCAGAGCCCGAYCCCCCCGGCTGTCYCCTCCTGTCAGGGAGTTGTGCAGAGCCACAARGTYCCCCCTGATCCYCCTTTGCTCCAGGCTGAGCCCCTTTSGAGCTCCCTCAGCCTCTCCTGGTGCTCCAGACCCTTCCCCAGYTCCATTCCCACCTCTGGACACAAAGGCAGGACACTGCCCTGTCCTTACTTCAGTGTCACCCCTTCCCTTGGGGAACAGCCCCACTTTTGACACTGGGGTTGTGCTGAACCCTAATTCTGTGCAGAACTTCTCCCCTATTTCAGCTTATCCTCCAAATCCTGCAGGATCTTGTACCACTCCCTGTCCCCTCCAACAGGAACCAGGGGATTTCAAACAGCCGTGGTTGCTCTGTGCTGCCTGCCTGGGATTGCAGGGGGCTGCATATGGATCGGTTGGTGGACTGGAAATTCTGAGTAACAAAGAAATTATCGCTCAGCATGAATGGTTTCAGGCATTTCAGTCGGGAACCCAAACAGGGCTCTTTTTGGTTGGCTGGAATATCTGGATCAAACGAAAGCTGGGTTGGGTTTCAGTTCTCTTGACAAGCAGAAAGAGGCAAATCGAGGGAATATTTTAAAGAGAGCTTCAAAAGGGAAAGGTTTCTCAGGCACTAAAAATCCAAACTTCCCACTCAAAAAATGTCTAAAATTGTCTGTCAGTTTTTCTAAAGGCTCATTTCCTTTTTTAATGTGGAAAGACTGGAAACCTCCAGGAAGTCAGGAGGATTCAGCCTCAGAGACAGGTTTTCCTGACTCCAGGAGGAGAGGAAGATGCTTCCCCCACACAGAACAGGGCTCCCCTCCCAGCTGCTTCAAATGTCACAGAAATCTCTGTGCCGTGGGATGGAGCTGCAGCCTAGAAAACTCTGCTTTGGAAGGGTGTCCTGTTGGAAATACTTTAAAGAATGATAAAAATATTTTAAAGAAAAAAAAAATTCAATAAATTATTTTAAAGAAATATTTTAAAGAATATTTCAAGGATAAAATATCCTCCTCCTTCTCTGCTCCCCACTGTTTGTGAGTCTGGAAGGGACAGGGCTCCAAAATTGTTCCCCCTAGGGCCAGGTCTGACAGCCCTGGAGGGGTGAGGAGGGATAAGCTATGAACAACTGCATGTCAACAGCCTGGATTTTAATTAATTCCATTTGATTTGGGAGAGGGGGAGGTCAGTTCTCTCTGGCTCTAATTAGTGCTTCTCTCATCACACTCAGGGATGGGGCAGGTTCTGCTCTGCTCAGCCCCGGCTGCAAGGGGAGGATGAGGAGGAGGAGGAGGAGGAGGTAGAGAGGGATTTCTGCCTCCTCCACTCTCCCCAGCAAATCAGGGAATTGCTGGAATGGGGCTGGATGGAGGCTTTTCAGTGGCAGCAGAAATGTTTATTAAAGATCTTCAGGAGCTCGAGGAATGGCTCTGACTGCCCACTTTGAAGTTTTGGCTGCCAACTGACCCATTTTGCAGTCTCGGATTTCTCTGCGTAGAAATTTTCATTAAAAATGTCAAGTGTTGCTGAATCTTTCAGGCTCACCAGCCGTCAGGAGCCCATAAACAGCAGAACATGTGGGGGCCCATCCCCAGAGTGCTGCTGATTGCTCTTTGATGATTTTCTTTATGACCCAATAAAGGCTTTCCGTCCAAATTAAAAAATGCCAGAAGCCCTGAAAATTTTTCACGGGAAATTGCAGCTGGGGGAGGGGACACACATCACTGCAACCACCTTTTGATCCCGAGGTTCTGCTGCAGCCAGGATGGGTCAGTGTGGCTGTACACAGCATTAACACCACACCCAGTGGGATTTTTGGGGGGAGAAGTGGCTGTGCCAGGTGATCACAAGCTGTGAGAAGGTTATAAAAGCCAAATTCAGAGCAGAGCCTGTTTTGGTGACAGTTTGTGCTTTCTTACGTGCATCCTCTCCTCTAGGATGGCTTTACGGAGGGATGCAGAGTGAGAGCTCAGCTCAGCTGAGGGCGCTGCCCCCACTGTTTTGGGGTTGCCCCAGATGTTTTGGGGTTGTGTGAAAAACAGTGCCAGGCTTTTCTGAGGCCAGGAAAGAGCACAGCCCTTGTCCCAACCCCATCCTGCCTCACCTTGGAATAGGTGGCTCCGTTGATGACTTCTCCCCTGCGCATCCAGATGATGGAGGCGGCTGGCTTGGCGTTGTCGGCGTGGCACGTCAGGTTCAGGGGGTCCCCTGCCCTCAGGCTGATGATGGGGCCCCCCATAATGACAGGGTCATCTGGAGGAACTGCAAAGGAGGAGCAGAGAGGAGACAATGTCATTGGAAGCACGAAACACCTTCCTGGATGATGATGATCATGATCACCTTCCAATGATTAATCAGTGAGCTCTCACAGGATTCTCACATTATTCCAGGAAAGCAGGAGGGAACCTCCTTGTGGCTGAAAGCTGCTGGCAACCCCCTTGAGAGCCCTTCCAGCCCAAAGACATTTCTCTCTTCCCAACCATGACCCTTGGGAAGCCAAACGCTGCTCCTGCTGCAGACAGATGTGTTGTCCACCCATCTCATGGCCTGTCTGGGGGCTCCTGGGGCCCATGTGGGACTGGGGACCCAGAAGGAATGATGCTTTAGGATCTTAGTTTCTGTATTTTCATGTATCTGTAAC